GACATAAAGGAGAAGGGTAAGGAATACATGGTTCTCACAATTGGAAATTACAGCAAGGACTATGGCAGTGGATCCAGTAAATGAAGTTCGGAGGCCAAGCAAGTGGAACTGACATAAGTAGATGCTGGCACATGGTACCAAAAGGCCAAGGGCCAAGCAGTTACTCAACAGAGGCCAGCAAGGACAGAAAAGAATATGCAAACCCATACATGTTGATGATGCCTTATGATTTGTCAGTCTTCCTCAGGAACTTGAGGAAGAGTGAAAGGGAAGAAGAGGCCAGCTACGGTGGCTCACGTTTGTAATCCCAGCCCTTTGGGAGGCTGAGGTGGGAGAACTGCTTGAGTCCAGGAGTTCGACACCAGCCTAGGTGACATGGCAAAACCCTACCTCTACCAAAAATACAAAAATTAGCCATGTGTAGTGGTGCATGCCTGTAGTCCAGCTACAACGGAGGCTGACATGGGAGGATGATTTGAGCCCAGGAGATGGAGGTTGTAGTGAGCCAGGATTGAGCCTTTGTACTTCTGTCTGGGCAACAGAGCCAGACCCTGTCTCAAAAGAAAAGAAAGAAAAGAAGAGTAGAAGTGATACAAATAGGAGAGAGGGGTAGAATCTTAGTTTAAAGCTGAAATCAATTTTAATTCAGAAATGACCAAGTAACTTCAAATTTATCTGTGGAAATGTTATTGGTGGGAGTACCAGGAAAAGACACTGAGATCAATCAATTTTTTTAATATAGGCAAATAATGTTTTACAGATTTAAGATCAATAACTATGGCCAGGCACGGTGGCTCAAGCCTGTAATCCCAGCACTTTGGGAGGCCAAGGCGGGTGGATCACGAGGTCGGGAGATTGAGACCATCCTGGCTAAGATGGTGAAACCCCATCTCTACTAAAAAATACAAAAAATTAGCTGGGTGTAGTGGCAGGTGCCTGTAGTCCCAGCTACTCAGGAGGCTGAGGCAGGAGAATGGTGTGAACCCGGGAGGCGGAGCTTGCAGTGAGCCGAGATCACACCACTGCACTCCAGCCTGGGCGACACAGCGAGACTCTATCTCAAAAAAAAAAAAAGATCAATAACTACAAAACTTAAACTTACACAGCCAGCTCTTAGGGGTGTTACAAGGATTCAATGACATGGGTGTGAGAAAATAGAATGGTGTGATTTTCTGATTACAGTTTCTGATAGTAACTTTTCTTTGACTTTTCTCCAAGTTTGGGGACGTTTATTGTAGTCCCATATGTAGAACCCATACCTTCCACCTTATCTTATACAGACTCACTTCCAAAGAGCATTAACTTTGAAATAAATGAATCTTGAATTTGAATTCGACTTTTGTCATGCACTAGCTGTATGAATTTGGGGAAACAAGTTCTCTGAATCTTTGAGTCTTCATCCATAAAATATAGAAGTCAAAAATCATTTCATACATGTATTATGTAAGACAATAAAACATACAAAGCACATTGTCTGGTTCATGGTTGGTGGACCTATCTTCTTTCCCTAAAGTTTATTTATTTATTTAGTATTTTATTATTATTATTCTTTTTCAAGACAGGGTCTCACTGTGTCACCTAGGCTGGAGAGCAGTGGTGCAATCATGGCTCACTTCAACTTTGACCTCTGGGCTCAAGTGATCCTCCCACTTCAGGCTCCTAAGTAGCCATGACCACAGGTGAGAGTCACCACGCTCAGCTAATTTTGTTTATTTTTGGTAGAGAATAGGGCTCGCCATGTTGTCCTTGGTCTCAAATTCCTGGGTTCAAGCCATCCTCCTGCCTCTGCCTCCTAAAGTGCTAGGATTACAGGCATGCTCAGCCTTTCTTTAAAGTTTAAACTATGTTGCCTAGCTTTTAAAATTAATTAATTAATTTTTTGAGACAGGGTCTCGCTCTGTCCCCTAGGCTGGAGTGTAGTACTGGGATCTCAGCTCACTGCAATCTCTGCCTCCCAGGCTCAAGCCACCTTCTCACCTAAGCCTCCTGAGTAGCTGAGACTACAGGCATGTGCCACCACACCTGGATAATTTTTGTAGAGATGGGGTCTCACTTTGCTGCCTAGGCTTGTCTTGAACTTCTGAGCTCAAGTGATCTACCTGCCTTGGCCTATCAAAGTGCTAGGATTACAGGCATGAGCTACTGCACCTGGTCAGTTGCCTAGCTTTTGATTTGGAATATTTGATCATCTTATCACATGTCCTAACTAAAAGAGATTAAACTCTGTAATATATGACTCCTAGTTATTGCTCCTGGTTTACTGAGTAATAAACACCCTTACATGCAGTGAAGGAAGCATAATATAAGCATTTAAATATATAAACATTTAAATATAAAATATATGATACCTAAACAGAAATCTCCTCAAGTCTTACCCTGAGACTGAGTACAAGGGTTGGATATATAATTTTCCACTTTCTCCAAATAGATATTGTCATTTTAAAAGGTATTTGCCTCAAATCCAACAAATTTTAAAAAGTAGAAACTTCACAACAGATAATAAAAATCAACAGTATCTATTATTCATTAAAGATGGTAGATTGAACATATGTACTTAAATCTATCCCTTTCCAAAACCAAACTAAAATACAATTTTATGTTAAATATTTTATTAAAAAGCAAAAACAAGACTGGGTACAATGACTCATGTCTATAATCCCAGTGCTTTGGAAAGTCAAGGTAAGGGGATCACTTGAGGCCAGGAGCTTGAGGCCAGCCTGGGCAACATAGCAAGACCTTGCCTCTATAAAATATTAAAAAAAAGTAGTCGGGTTTAGTGGCACACACATGTTGTCTCAAATGCTTGTGGGGCTGAGGCAGGAGGATCACTTGAGCCCAAGGGTTCCAGGTTGTAATGAGCTATGTTAGCACCACTACACTTCAGCCTGGTGACAGAATGAGACCTTGTCTCTTAAAAAAAAACCAAAACAAATAAGAAAAAGGAGAATGAGAGATGAGTGACAGTAACCACAATTTGGAAGCTAGAAAGCAGGACTACTGCAAACTGACTTAGCAGACCCAAGCAAGCTGGTTCCTAAACCAGCAGTTGGTAATGATAAGCTAGGGAGCAATTTTGTACTACAATTTCCAAAAGACTTAGGAATTGGTGACAGCCAGTGCTTATGAAAGTAAGATAAAGATAAGACTATAAAAAACTTGGTTAGAAATTTATTTAAGAATTAGATACTTTCTTCAGAGGAATAAAAGAATAGGTAGCAAAAACAAACAAACAAACAAACAAACAAATGAAGAAGAAACTAAAAAGAATTAGATACTTTCTAATTAACTGCCACCATTCACAACCAGCCAAGTACTTTTCCCTCTCTCATCCTAGCAGAAGACCAAAAGTTCACACTTTGGCATGAGTAAAATAGTCTTGAACTGGGAAATTTTTTTATTTTTGAGATGGCATCTTGCTCTGTTGTCCAGGCTGGAGTGCAGTGGTGTGATCTCAGCTCACTGCAACCTCCGCCTCCTGGGCTCAAGTGATCCTCCCACCTCAGCCTCCCAAGTAGCTGAGATCAAAGGTATGCACCACCCTACCTGGCTAATTTTTATATATTTTTTTTTTTCAGTAGAGATGGTGTTTCACCATGTTGGCTGGGCTGATCTTGAACTCTTGACCTCAAGTGATCCACCTGCCTCAGCCTCCCAAAGTGCTGGGATTACAGGTGTGAGCCACTGTGCCCAGCCTTGAACTGAGGAATTTTGTAGGGTACTCTGTTGAAAAGGGGAAAACTGAATGAAATTTTATTTGCTGAATATTGAGACTCTAAGTCCTCTTCTACTTGGTTCACACAATGCTAGCAGCCCATCTTATAGCCTCTAGGTAGGAAAGTGGAAGATACTTCTTTGGTGAATCTAACAGGCCCGAAAGAAAGAAGTTCAATAAAACATTAGGTTCCTGGATAAAACAGCAGTCAGATCTAGGAAATTCATAGTCATTAAGCCCCAATTATGTGTTATCGAGGTATCCACTTCCTTACTACCTTAACTATAAGGTGTCAGTCAAGGACCACTAGACTTCTGAGGAAAGCCCTTAACAGGAAAGATGGAGGGTAAAACAAACAGAAAACAAGACTCCTTAGGGACATAAAATTTCAAAGAAGTTTCTAACATGTAAGAGAAGAACTACATCCATGAAAGAAGAATAGATGGTCTAAACAAAAACAAAAGAACATTCAGGGAACAAGAAAGTACTGCTGAGAGACAAAATGATGATAAAATTGAAGAACTCAATAGAAAAGTCAGATCTCCCAGCAAGTAAAGACACTAAGAAAACGAACATAGGAGAGAAAGGGCATGAATATTAGAAAATTAGTCTGGGAGGTTCAACATCCAAATAACAGAAGGAGAGAACCAAGAAAATGAAAAGAAAAAAATTCAAAAAAAAAATTTATAAAAATTTTCCTGCACTAAAGAAGATGAATTTTCAGATTAAAAGGGCTCACTAGTACCTGGCTGAATGAATGAAAATAGGTCTCCAAAAGGGCATATCCTAATAAAATTTCAAATCTCTGATAGAAATAGAAAATCTTAATAGCTTCTAGAAACAAAAAATAGGTAAAACAGAAATCAGAATATCTTTCAACTTTTCAACACTGGAGGCTAAATGACAATGGAGGGAAGCCATAAAAAGTCAGAAAGAAAATGAATTACAAACCAGAATCCTATACTCAGGCACAATATCAATCAAATGTCAGTAAACAGTAAAGACATATTCAGACAGGCAAGACCAACTCAACAAGGAAAAGACATGAAAACTGGGAGATCCAACTCAAAACAGGGACAAAAATAAGCCTCAAGTTGATAGTGAAAAGGGATCTGTACTATGTGGGACACAGTTTTCAACCAAATCAGAAATAAGTACATAGGGAACCAAGCAAATGACAAGACAATTATTAAGTTTAGGAAAAGCAGAGTTAGATACACGATACGGTTCAGCTACAAACTGAGTTTATATCATTATAATAACATGCACAATTGAATACTAAACTTACCAAAATCTTTATATAACTATATAGAAATGATGGTGTGCTTGTGGCAGTAGGGTAGGAGATCATAAAGAGATCTAAGTTTACAGCTTGCATAGTAAGGATTTAGTAGATTATCTGTGAAACTGAAAAAAAAATCAAGAAGTAGAAACATAATCATGTGATTTAGAGATATTCTGTTTTATAATTACCAAAAGACACAGTTAAAAAAGAATTTGCAAATTTCTTCTTTCTTATTTTGGTACTTGGAATATAGTGTGAGAATTTTTATTTCTAGATTTTGTTGTATCTTCTATTACATAAATGCATTGTTTAACAATTATAAAATGCAAGTGTTTTTTGAGTGATTTTAAGAATTTGGCATAAAAATTGATTGCTACAATGTATTATTTGTACTAAGAAGTAACTTGACCCAAAACACCCTGTATGTTTGCTTAGGGTATTTTTTTTCAATGTCTGAAAGTAAAAGGCATTCCTGCCACAACTGTAAACAAACTTATCCTAAATGTGTTAAAACATATTCTTGGGCACTCTATTTGTATATCTTTCATGCCTTGAAAATCTGAAGGTTAATCCAAACTCACATGTCTTAGCATATTTAAGAAAAAAACTACTTTTAATATCAGCCTTTTAAATTTCATGAAGATTTTGGTGAGGAATAACAGTACATACTTTAAGCATTGACAAAACTTTGAAAGTTTCCTTCTATAAAATGGGAAATACTCAATATCTAAATCCACATCAGGCATGAGCAATCAGTATTTAACATTGGCTGTTCTGTGTTTCGTATTTATAATGTTCAAAATGCAAGCATAACATTTAATCTTTGTCCACATGGTTTTACAAAAGCAAATCTTAGATTACCAAAAAAAAAAAAAAAAAAGAAAATGATTGCATCTGGGGATTGGAAAATGATGGAAGGAAGTTTAGAGCAGGAGACTGCTGTTGTCAATCTAGTATGACTACTTAATTTTTAAAATAATTTGATGTGTAACTTTGATAAATTAAAAAAGCATACAATTAATTTTAATAGTCTGTGGAAATTTAGTAGGCATTTATAAATTCTTAAGTGTGCTGCATATGAATTGCTGTGTCATACAACTTCAGAGGAGAAATTTCTAGAAAACAGGTATTGTACCAGACAAGTATCTGCCATGGAAGCCAGCATATGGCAGATATGTAAACATTACTACTTTACTTGGTAACCATGACAAAAACAGGCACTACTGTGGGTAGGAGCATAGGTTCTAGACTAGATTCAAATCCTGGCTCTATTTCTTTCTAGTTATATAATCCTTGATAAGATATTAAACCTCTTTTTGCTTAAGCTCCCTTATCTGTAAAATCTTCATTTCATAGGAATGTGGTGATTGTCAAATGATATATGAACAGTAATTAGCAAAATGCCTGAGACACAGTAAGTAGCTAATACTTGTTAGCTATTTTTATTTAGTATTCCAAAATTCCTAACTTGGGATCATAAGGTTCATGTCCACTGCACCTCTTCCTACTCCTCCACACTCATCTTGGGACATTTTATTTCACACAATGTCTTGTTCAACCACCCCACATAGATCAAACTCACTTATCTCCCTAAAGACAATCATGCCTGATTAACTACAAAACATAGACTAGAAATAGATGTCATACCTGAAACCACGTCTCTTTTCTTTTCCATCCCTGTTTTCCTTTAAGGAATCTACAGCAGGATTTGTAATGAGAAGACCTAGGTTTGAGTAGGTCATTCAGCCTGAGTATCCATTTTCTCATCTGTAAAGTGGAGATGATTGCATCTGCTGGAGTGGATGTTTGTTGTTTGACTTCTCACCATTCTTTCCTGCTACTTCTGGTAGCCGTATATGGATTTTGCTTTGGAAATTTTATCCCAGCTCTAGAGATGTATCTAGCTGCCAAAGTCAATCAGCATATCCTTCTCTCTCTCTGTCTACAGTGATGGGTCCAGAGATTGGCATTTAGCCAAATCACGGCCAGTGATACTCAAAACTGTCAGGGCTACCAAGACTGGAGTTAACAATGCCGCTAATCCAGAGAGAAACAGCTGGGAGTCTCATATCAGCCTATCTGAACATTCCATCCTATGAGGTAGAGAGAGAGCGTGTGTGTGTGTGTGTGTGTGTCCGCGTGTATGGCAGGAGGGCTTAAGGCAGTGTGTGTGTGGTGGGGGGAATGTTCTTACTTACAACCAAAGGAGTCTTAACTCTTGCCTACCTTATAGGTATTATCTCCAACTTTTCTGGGATTAACTGACATGATAAATATAAAAATATTTGGTAAACTCAAAGCAGCATGCAAATGGTAACTGTTATTAACATAATTTTTTATAAAACAAGCCTAATGCCTACACAAAGCAAGGTATGCCTTGTAACAGTTCTAAATAATTTTTATAAAAACCAAAGTACCCTGTTAAAAGTCTGGACATGTTGGATATTATTTGTGAATATATATTTTGTATAAAATATAACAATGTGCAATTGTTGCTCAAATCACTCCAGGTTATGCCTCTGACAGTAGCTCATTTGCCTTTCTGATAAATCAAACATAAAAGGTTAAGCTAGTACCCCTCAAACCTCTATTTTTACCCTGTGATATTTATGCTCCATAAACCTATTTGAACCCTTATGAAAATATGTATTTTGTACTAATTACTTACAAGTGAATTTTGCCGGGCTTAATTAGTACAGTCTGGAGAAGTACAATTGCTTTATTACTTATAAATAAAACATTAATTAAGGGGAAATTGAAAAAAGGTATCTAGGCCATATTTTTAAAAAGATGATTTCATAAACTTATAAAATAAAATATTTTGAAGTCAGAATAAAAATTGGAAGTAAATGGATATTCCAAATGAGCTCACAGGCTTTAAAAAAGCATTTGTTTTCTTAAATGTATCTATCTATTTATGTCTATAGGATCAATTTGACTGGCACTTCTTTTCTTTCTGGCTAAAGCAGAGGTAAAGTTCAGCTCAACTACTGTTTGATTTCTCAGAAACTGAGTAAGTGCAGTTGAAATAAATGTTGTTTTACAGTATTTGCTCCATCTAATATATCCTTGGTTTTATCTCCAGGTTAGGCTCCTTTAGGTAAAGGTTCAGGTAATCAGCTAATGAGGCCGATTTTTGTCGCACATCCATTATCATTACCTAATGACAGTGAATGTAATAATGCAAAAATCATCATCATGAGCATGAATGTATACACTTTCTCAATTAAAAATATTCAATTAAGAATTTAAAAATTGAGCTATAATGACTTTTTTAAAAGAAAATAATGAAACAAGAATGTTTTTGAATTAAAGATAACTTTAATTAAAGATGCCCCTGTTGTTTCTGATCTAAAAAGGTATATATAACTTTTGCATCTATCTTCATCACGTTTTTATATATAAAAGTTATATACATATATACATAACATTTGACCCACTAAACTTAGTTTTAGATGACATTGAGTTGGACTAAGAATTCTGATTTAACTAACATGTGTGTTCAAAATAGTGTGGAAAAAAAGCAATTCCATAAATATTTTGTGCAAAGGCAATGCCCATGGAGTAAGTCTACAGTTTCCAAACTGCTACTGAGAAAGTCAAATAATAATCCAAGTATGTAAGTTTTGTGTGTTGTCTCCTTCCCTACAATTACATTTTAAAGTAGGAAAAAATAGGAGTCTGAATATGAAGATAAATTAAACTGCAGATTAAGATCAAATTTCATAAAAAAGAGCAACTCCTAGAAACTAACGAAACTTAACAAACATTTATTGAGTGTATTCTGGGTAACTGAAGTAGTACTAGGTACAATAGGAAATAGAAAAATGAATAATACACAGGTCAGGTCCTCAAGGCACTTACAAGCTGTTGAATAGTAAGTTACATACAATAAGAATGACAACATTCTACTTTAGACTTGAACGTTATAAATGAAGCTAAAAGCTCCGTTGTATAAGCCAATTTACATTCAAATACTTTAGTCCATATTTTCCCAGGTCAATCTGATTACCATCAGTGTTGTATACCTTTATGAATACATATCACTTTACACTGTAGAAATTTGGTTATATATCTGCCTTCTCGGCTAGCCTATGAGCTTCTCTAGAGTGAGGAAGAATTAGAGGTCATATTACGGAGTCTAGCGTAGCATACATGCACAATAATTGTATCGATCAATAAAGCAGATTGTTAGATGTGCTATCAATGAAATAAATGCAAAGTGAGAATGAGTAAACCAAACAAGGAATAGTTTAATTACCATTGGAGAGCTTGAAGAAAGGTTCAAAGACAGTATAGCATTTTTAAAAAATTGAGGCTGGGGGTGGCAGCTCATACCTGTAATCCCAGCACTCTGGGAGTCCGAGGTAAGAGGGTTGCTTTAGGTCAGGAGTTCAAGACCAGCCTGGGTAACACAGTGAGACTTCATCTCTTAAAAAAAGAGTTGGGATTTTAATATATAGAAATAGAGGAAACAGAGAATAGGTAAATGGAACGGGAAAGGTTTGCAAAAGCACAAAGGTAAAAAAGTACTGGGGATGCTTTAAAAATATTTATAATCTAGTATTTTCAGAATTCCAGGCTTTTGTGATTGATTGATAGATGTATTAGTAGTATCTTGAGGGTTAGTCTAGATGTTTCTCCTAGGCAAGTTAGTAGGGATCTGAGTGGGTCTGCTTTCCCAGATCTGCATACTTAGGGGACAAAAACAGGTACCACAAAAATGGCCCTTGGGAACCTATCTGCATGACAGGACATAATTCAAATGTCTATAACAAGCTTGTTCAACGCATGGCCTGCAGTCTGCATGAGACCCAGGATGGCTTTGAATGCAGCCCAACACAAATTCGTAAACTTTCTTAAAACTTTATATGATTTTTGGCAAATTTTTTTAGTTCATCATCTATCATTAGTATTAGTGTATTTTATGTGTGGCCCATGACAATTCTTCTTCCAGTGTTATCCAGGGATGCCAAAGAGATTGGACACCTTTGGTCTATAATAATTTGGAATAATGTAACTGTTTACTAAGTTATATTTCATTGAACAATATACATCTACAGAAATGCAATACATGCTTGCAGAATGCAGTTCAATCCAGTATATTTTACCAAATTAATTTGACTACAGAACTCTTTTGTTATAAAATTCTTATTGGTATTTTGATTTGAAACTTTTTTTTAGTTTCCCTTTATTTAAAATGTAAGGTATCAAATAGAGAAAAAAAAATACAAAGGAACAATGAAATGAAAAGTTGTTTCTCTGAAAGGCAAACAAAATTGATAAACCATTAGATAGACTAGGAAAAGAGGAGAGAAGATCCAAATAAACACAATAAGAAATGAAAAGGGAGACATTACAACTGATATCACAGAAATACAAAAGATTATCAACTATTATGAACAACTATATGCTCAAAAACTAGAAAACTTAGAGGGATGGATACATTCCTAGAAACACACAACTCCCTGAGGTTGAACCAGGAAGAAATAGAGCCCTTGAACAGATTAACAATGAACAGCAAGATTAAGTCAGTAAATAAAAAATGTCCCAACAGGGCTGGGTGCGGTGGCTCATGCCTATAGTCCCAGCACTTTGGGAGGCCAAGGCAGATGGAATGCTTAAGCCCAGGAGTTTGAGACCAGCCTGGGCAATATAGTGAATATAGTGAAACCCTGTCCCTACAAAAAATACAAAAATTAGCTGGGTGTGGTGAAATATGCATCTATAGCCCCAGCTACTTGAGAGGGGTGAAATGGGAGGATCACCTGAGCCTGAGAGGTCGAGGCTGCAGTGAACCATAACTCAGGCTGTCACTCTAGCCTGAGTGACAGAGTGAGATTCTGTCAAAAAAAATAGAAAAACAAAACAAAACAAAAACCCAAAGCAAGCAAACAAACAAACAAACAAAAAACAACCCCAAACTCCCAATAAAACAAAAGTGCAGGAGCAGATGAAAATCAAGGAGGAGGTAATTTTATCTAACTCATTCTATGAGGTCCGTATGGCACCAAAACCAGACAAGGACACAACAACAACAAAACTAAAGACTAATATTCCTGATGAAGATAGATGGAAACATCTTCCACAAAATACTAGCAAATAGAATTCCAACAGCACATCAAAAACATAACACATGATGAGATAGAATTTATGCAAAGATGATTCAACATACACAAATCAATAAATGTAACATGTCACAAAACAGAACTAAGGACAAAAATCATATGATCATCTTAATAGATGCAGAAAAAGCATTCAATAAAATTCAGCATTCCTTCATGATAAAAATCCTCAACAAACTAGGCATAGAAGAAACATACTTCCAAATAATAAAGGCCATATATGACAATCCTACAGCCAACATCAGACTTGGTGGGGAAAAGCTGAAAGAATTGCCTCTAAGAACTGAAACAAGATAAGGATGCCCACATTCACCATTCTTATTCCACACAGTAATGGAAGTCCTTGCCACAGCAATCAGGCAAGATAAAAAAAATAAAAGGTATCTGAATTGGAAAAGAGAAAGTCAAATTATCCCTGTTCACTGATGATATGATCTTATATCCAGAAAATTCTAAAGACTCCACCAAAAACCTCTTAGATTTGATCAATGAATCCAGTAAAGTTTCAGGATACAAAATTACCACACAGATATCAGTAGCATATCTATATGCCAATAACGATATAGTAAAGGACCAAATGAAGAAGGCAATCTCATTGACAATAGCTACAGAAAACCACCCAAAACCCTAGAAATATATTTAACCAAGGTGAGATATCTCTATAAACAGAACTACAAAACACTGATGAAAAAATCGCTGATGACACAAACAAATGGAAAAACATCCTATGCTCGTGGATTGGAAGAATCAGTATTGTTAAAACGACCATATTGCCCAAAGCAATCTACAGATTCAACACAATCCCTATCAAATTAGCAGCACCATTTTTCACAGAATTAGAAAAAACAATCCTAAAATTAATATGGATCTAAAAAATAAGACCCCAAATAGCCAAATCAATTGTAAGCAAAAAAAAATGAAGCTGGAGACATCACATAACCTGACTCCAGTTTACACTACAAGGCTA